ATGGGGGATGAGAGATTTAAAAAAAAAAAGTAAAATCAACCAAAAAGAAGCAAATAGTAAAAGAATTTTAAAATACGCAAAAAAAAAAAGATTTTATGAGTGAAATTTGTTCCCATGGGAATAGTAATTCTCTGCTCGGAAGGTCGCAATTGTCCCACGCGGCAGCCAGTCATGCCTCACGCAGCCGCAAACCCCCACAGCCCCAGCAGAAGAAGCAACGATGGCAGCAGTCCGCTCTCACGCATAGTGCCAGCAACGCTGTTATCCCACTGCGACGAATTTAAAAGGCTGTTGCTGGGTGTCGCCGCCTCTGCTTCCTTGACCTGTGGATGGAGCCCTTCTTGTCCCTTGCCTTCAGCGTTGTGTGTTGCTGCATTTGCTGCGTCGGGGGTGCCCACAGAGAATTGGGTTGGTTGATCTGCCTGCATCATAGCCCCACCTTCCGTCCCCACCGTTTGTGCATCATCAGACAAGAAAGCCTCATCCTCCGAGCTGGCGGCACCTGAAGATGTAACAGATGCCGACTGGTCTGCGCTCCTCTCCCTTGCTGAGGATGTCGCGGCATTGGGCTCCGGTAGCTTGGGCCCTGCTGATTCCGAGTCCGCTGGTGTGGATGGAGCGCCACCGCTCGCACCACTGCTCGCGCTCAAAGTTGCTTGGTCCGTCGGCTTGGGTGCGGCAGCAGCAGGCGATGGCACAGTTGGCTGCGTATTTGTGGCAACCGTATCGCTGGAGGATTCAACAAACGGAGAAGTAGCTGCCGCCGCCGGCACCGGCTTCCTTTCCGGAGGTGAAATGGTGACTTTACTCGCGTTGAGGGCGTCAATCTCAGTTTCATTCAACGGGCGGTTGTACAGAAAGACGTTCGCCACCGTCGCATGGATTTCTCTGCTGCTCAACTGCTCATCGTACGCGCCAAAGTAAAAGTGTGAGACCTCGTCCAGCCCTTCATTGAACGAATTTCTCAGACTCATATTCCAAAGGAGAGTCCCGTCAACGTACACGGAGCCCACACCGTCATGCATTTTGAGCACCACGTGATACGTTTTGTCCACCTCCCATGCGGTGAAATGCTTCGGGAACAAGTCATTCACCACTCTCCACTCCATATTATTATCGTACGACAGTCCCAGGAGTGTTGTCGTCCCCATTCTCTTCAGGCCCATCAGGGAAGTGATGCCCTTCGGCACCTCGTGTATCGACACCGTTGCCGCAAGAGTAAACCCATAGTTTGCAAAGTGGAGCGGTATGTTCGGCCACTGCTTGCCCACAGGCCACTCGGCCCCCGCGCCCTGCCCTTCGAACGTCAACCCATCGGAAGGCTCTGCCTTTTTCTTCGCACCCCTCACAACGGCATTCACCCCAAGGTACTCGTCCTCCCACATGTCCCCACGGAACCTATCGGCCAAATGGCCCACAAGCCCAGCCGTGGGGATAGAAACAGAACAGTCCCAGCTTGACAGCGCGGCGTTCGCGGCAATTGAGCTGCATTGTCTCAAGGCATTGTCATTTGCGGCCCAGGTAGACAGCGCATACCTTATCCTCTGCAGCTCAAGCGTCAGATCCAAGGGGTCGGCTACGGAGTCGTTTCCAAAACCTGTCTTTTACAAACAATACAGCCTATCATCCGCGTACAACAGAGAGCTGGAGGTCGCGCCATACCCAGTGGGTAGCAGGCCAACGTGGTAAATGCGGTTCGTGTCTGTTAGCCACAGGTGAACCCTGCCCATTTGGTTGTCCCTGAAATATTCCAGCTGGGTGAGGAGGATCACCTTCTTTCCGCCAATCGTTGCTGTGATAAATCCACTCTGAATGTGGAGCCCAAGACCGGCCAATGAGTTGCCCCACACGCGCGAGAGCGTCCCCAGAGCCTCCGTCCACGTGTTCCCCTTGTCGGTCGACTCGTACACCCTTCGGCGACCGTAATCACATGAGGTGATCATGATGATTTTCCCAGCCTCCCACTCAAGGATACTGGGGTTGGTGCAGCCCGCATGTGTCGCGCTGTTCGCAAAGGTCCAGTGCTGTTGACCGGAATTCCAGTACATGACTGTGGACGCAGTGCTCCCTCCCCTTGTCAGAAACTGCACGGGAAACACGAGCGTGCCATCCGTCATTTTCGTGATGGGAGTACTGGCATCGTTGAGGAAGCCAATCAATTCGTCGGATTTATAGGGATAAGGAAGGCGAATGGTCATAGAGACGGAAATCATCGACAAACCTCCGCTTAGTCCAGGCCCCGTCTCCATAAAATGGATAACAGACTCCAACCCACTTCTCCGCTCATCGGGAAACCGAATCATGGCCCCGTTCCGTAAGTCGTAGCCCTCCACAAAAGCAAAAAGCGGTCCGAAGGGTCCAAAAGACAAGGGAAGCGACATCCGGTAAGGGTGTGCAGCAAAAGCGTCACGACCTACTGGCCCCGCGTACGACTGCCACGTCCTCCCAGCATCAACGCTGATCCGTGCCATCAACTGCATGGACGCACTCCCGCTCCCCACAGTTCTATTGAACTGAGCTCCAGCAATGGCCAGCAGCATCCCGTCCACATTCACAAGATGGGGATTGCGGAAAATGTGGCCAGGGACCGGTGGGTTTGCCGCTCGATACTCCCCTGGCAACCGCTCCAAACTGTGTCTTTCATAGGAATCACCCACTCCCGTTCCATAGTTTTGGGCCTGCACAGACCCAGCGGCGCCGCACATCATCACGACAACGAGGAGGAGCAGCACAGCGGAAGTAAACACACGCCGGGACATGCTGGGCCTCTGCGGCTCACTCTCTCTTCCTTCCCTCCTCCTTCCGCTGGATCCGGTCACGCGGCGACAGTTGTGTGTGCGGGGTGCCTTCACTGCAGCAACACGTGAGAGCATATAAATATGTGTGTGTGTGTGTGCTGTTGGTCCTTTCAGTGCCTTACAATTTCACAGTAGCGATTAGCGCTTGATTGCTTTCTTCCCAGCCTGAGTGAAAGAAATGAAAACAGCAACAGCGGCAATACATCAGACACGTCAGCGGGGTTAGAGCAGAGCAGGGCACCCACGCAGAGAGCGGGGCACAAGACAATCCGAAAGGGACGGTACGGAGAGCCACCGCCCACAGAAAAGAGCAGCAACACGGCAAGTCACGGCGGGCCGTCGGTGTGTGCGGGCCAGCCCTCACGCGGTGCAACACGCCACACCCAACAGGAAAGGACAGACAGTGAGAGAGGGAGATGGATGGATGCCGTCAGGAGGCACTCACTATCAAAATGGCCCGTGAGCATGCGGCCACTCCACGCAGGAACACAAGAGGAGAGGGTGACGAGGGAAAGGCAAGAAGCAGCACAAACACACAAAAGGAACAAACACCAGTCTCGGGAAAAGCACCGCCACGGCCCTCACACTGGCCGGCGACTCCACACCAGACCTCACACACACACACACCATCGCAGTGCCGTCAGTCCGCGGGTGAGAGGATTCGGCCCTCCACACAACAAACGCACACACCGCCAGCAGCCACCCACCATGGAAGAGCAGAAGAGACCCAACGCCACCATCGCCTCCAGTTCAATCCCACGGCCAACGGGATACGGCCACAGCCCCGCAGCCAACACACAGCGCACACGGAGCGAGCAATCACCACAGAGCCACACGCAGAAGCGATTCCTCATCCATCCACGACGCGGCGCCTCACTCCATCAGGAAGAGACACTCGCCCTGCGCGCTGCCTCTCTCCTCCCTTCGCCTCATGCCCACGGGAAAAAGCGGCACCCACACGCAGCTGCCACACGCACCGCAAAAGAACCATCCGAATCCACTGTGATTTGCACTCTGTGTGCGTGTGCTTGTGCGTGCCTGCAGAAACACGAGGCAAAGAAGTAAAAAAAGAGGCGGAGCATGTAAAGAAACGCAAAAACAAAATGTGCAGCAGAGCCGCATGGTAGAAGTAACAAGACTGCTCAAACTCATGATTGCACTGCATCCCAAGCAGTGGCGAGTCATACAAGATTTGTTCAAAACAACTACAAAAAAAAAAACTTCCCCTTTCACCATTACCTTCCCAGCCCCGCACAAAGTAATTAAATAAAAAGAAAAAAACGCAAGAGAGAAGTCGTCCTCCATTGCTCTTACTCCTAAAAAAAAAAACACTCGGTTACTGTGTGCTCCCACCAAACTGTCTGTATGTATTTTGCCCGCAAATTAAAAATTAAATAATTACTTGCCTTTCAGCCGTCCGACCTCCATGTGTGTCCGCACATCGTTTATATTTCATGGGGTCATCTGCGTGTTGCTGCTCCCCGCAGTCCTCTCATCGGCGCGTGAGTGCGGCCCGCAGTGCACAGTCACTCGTGTGTGGGGGGACTGAGAGAAGCACGCAGACACGACGGGAGTCGCGTCACTCCATCGGGAGAGTGAGCGCAGCAAAAGAAAAAAATCATCGGAGAAAAAGAAGAACAGTCAAAGAAAGCAAGTAAAATTCCTTTTTTAAAGCGGCAGGGCGTGGCTGTGTGTGTGTGTGGCGCTGCGGGTGTCTGCCAGCCCTGGCCGCATAAAAACAAAACAAGAGGGAAGAAATGTGTGCTCCGCCCCACAGGCCCTCGTCGCACGCCCACACGTCACGGCTCCCTCAGCGCGCCGTCCGTCGCGGCCCCTCCTCATGCGTGCAGCAGGCGAGGCGCACAGGGCCGTCGTCATGAGCGTGTCGGTGGTGTGCGAGTGGAGCAGTTGGGCGGCAAACACACGGCACCCCTCGCAGGAAGAGTGCAGCAACAAACAATTAAAGAGGGAAGAGTAGAAAAGAAAAAAACGTCCATAGTGACTGCCCCAAAAGCAAAAGAAAAGCGAAGGATTGAGAGATTAGAAAAAAAAAATTAAAACCAACCAAAAAGAAGCAAATAGTAAAAGGATTTTAAAATACGCAAAAAAAAAAAGATTTTATGAGTGAAATTTGTTCCCATGGGAATAGTAATTCTCTGCCGGGGAGGTCGCAAGGTGTCCCACGCGGCAGCCAGTCATCCCTCACACAGCCGCAAACCCCCACAGTCCCAACAGCAGAAGGAGCAGCGGCAGCGCCCTCCTCTCACGCACAGCGCCGGCATCGCTGTTATTCCCCTGCGACAAATTTCCGAGGCTGCTGCTGAGTGCCGCAGACTTTACTTCCCCGTTCTGTGGGTGGATTCCCTCTTGCCCATCCGTTCCTCCTGCCGTCTCCCCATCCGCACCAGAGCTCACGCTCACATCACGTGTCAATGCGGGTCCATCGTGCCCCTCGCCTTTAGCGGTAAGAACTTTTGTGTCGGCGGCGGCGGCGGTATTACCCACGGAAGGTGTGTGCGGTCCATCCCCCTGTATCGTATCTGCACTCCCCTCCCCCACCGTCGGGTTACCGCTAGACGAGGGAGAGACATCCACATCTGCATTTCCATCGGGAAATGTTTCAGAAGCCAACTGCTGTACGGTCTGCCCCACAGGCACGGATGTCGAAGCAATGGAAGCTGATGGGGATGCACTTCCGCCGTCAGCACCTTTACCTCCATTCAAAGGTTCCTGTCCCGCATGCGGTGTTCCACCAGAAGGCAACACGATTTCCTGCGCATTTTGGTCCTTCGGAGGCGTAATCGGGACTTTAATTGCATTAAGAGCAGTAATCTCACTGTCATCCAACGGGCGGTTGTACAGCAGGACGTTCGTCACAGTCACAGACACGCCTTCTTGGCTCCCTTTGTTGCTTCCATCCCCTCCAATGTAGAAGTGGGAGATCTTTTTATCTTCCTTACCTTCCAATTGGCATGGCTCACCCACACGCTTACCATCGACGTACGCGGAGCCCTGAGTGCCGTTCCGCAGCACAATGGCCACTTGGTGTGTTTTCTCTTTCCCCTCAATGCGGTTTTGCTCCGTATTCTTTCCGTCACCACACAATAATGTCCACTTCTTCTCTTTGTTGTTATACGACAGTCCAAGAAGTACTGGATTCTCTGCATCATTCATCTTCGCACCCATCAATGGAATATTACCCTCCGTCGATTCCTTGTCGATGGACACCGTCGCCACAAGAGTGAAGTTGTAGTTCGCAAAGTGGTACAGCTGATTCCGCCCCTGCTTGCCAACGGGCCACTCCGCCCCTGCGCCACGGAATTTCACACCATCGGTAGTCCCTGCTGCCCCAACACCACTCTTCACTGTGGCATTCACCCCGAGGTACTCGTCCCTCCACGTATTCTCAGAGAAGTTGCCGGACAAAAAGCCAACCAGCCCATCCGTGACCACAGAAGTGCAGGCAGTGCCAGTCGAGGTACTCTCCGCAGCACTTGAAGTGGGGCACAGTTTGGAGACACGTTCGTCCACTTTCTTCCAGGTCGCCAGCACATCCTTCACCCGCTTCAGCTGCTCAGTCAGAAGCGCAGACCAAAGACTGTTTGATGATGTATCTTCACCGCTCCTATCCTTCTCGTACAGCGCAATCAGCTCCTCATTATTACCATCAGTTTCACCACCTTTGTACAACAGGGAGCTGGCGGTAACTTTGTCTTCCCCTTCCACAGATACCGACCCAATATCAACAATGTGCGTATTGTCCGTCAGCCAAAGATGAAGTTCGCCCTTTTCCTTTTCCTCCTCTTCCCTCTCCGTAGGAGGCACCGGCAGAGTGACGAGCATCACCCTTCTCTTATCATCATCTCCATTGCCAACAGTCGCTGTGACGAACCCGCTCCCAACAGCCTTCACGTTTGCGCCTTTTGGGCTGCCCCACACGCGCGAGAGTGTCCCGAGGGCCTCCGTCCACGACTCCCCCATGTCAACGGACTCGTACACCCTGCGGCGGCCATCACCACACGCAGCCATCATCATGAGTTTTTTGTCCTTCCACTCCACGACGCAGGGATCGCTGCAGCCATCGGCAGACATCCCCTTCGACAGCTTCCAATTCGAAGCATCCGAAGAGTACATGAGCAGCAAGACAGTCTTTCCGCCCACAACTTCGCTTTGCCCCGAATTCTTCTTTGTGGCTTCCACTGGGAACACAAGCGTGCCGTCCTCCGTCTGAATACCAGATCCACCGCCTGCAACAAGCTGCATCAAGGAATCCTGTTCGCCCTCAAAGAGAGCGCGGACCAGTCGCTGGTTCTCATTCCATTGGAGTTTTCGGTTGCCTCCCTCAACACTGACGTTCCCTCTCATCAGCAAAAGTCCCCAGTCACCTGCACCACTCTCTCCATCATCAGCGGCAGCTGTCCGGCTGTATTTTCCAGCAAGCAAGTAAATTTCATTTTCCTTCACAACTGTTGTTGGCCGGCTCACATCTACTTTCTTCTTGATTGCGGTAGTGCCTTCCTCCAGAAATTGCGTTTTATCTTTGGCATCCTTCAGCACTTCCTTCGGTTCGTTAGCCTTTGCTGTCGTCACAAGTTGAGTTGCAATGCCAGTAAAGATGGTTTCACGCTCCTTGCACTGCGCCTCGGCAACGGCAAATACGTCACTCCCCACTTTCAAAAGGCCGGGAACACCCAACGATTTCACAGTTACATCACCTACACCACCATTGGCGTCCTTCCATTCAAACTTTGGATCAGTCCCTGAAGCACTGTTCTCCGCGTGTGCGGCTTCGCAGGCGCAGCACATCATAACGAGGAGGAAGAGGAGCAGCACCGCGAAAGTAAACACACGCCGGGACATGTTGGGCCTCTGCCGCTCACTCTCTCCTCCTTCCCTCCTCCTTCCGCTGGATCCGGTCACGCGGCGACGGTTGTGTGTGCGGGGTGCCTTCACTGCAGCAACACGTGAGAGCATATAAATATGTGTGTGGGCGGTGTGTGCTGTTGGTCCTTTCAGTGCCTTACAATTTCACAGTGGCGATTAGCGCTTGTTTTCCTAGCGTGTGTGTGAAAAAGTAGAGAGATAAGAGAAAACAAGCCAAGTAAAGAAGTACAACAGCAAACACCGTCACCCATCCACACTGTGAGTGGCATCATCATCCCCGCAGCCACTCCCAACAACAACAACTCACGCGCACAGACACACGGAACAGGAGAAGGAAGAGCAGTGCACCGGGAACACACAGCGACTGCCACCACCAGCAGGTGTCACGGCGGGTGCTTCTCCCACGCGTCAGCACACACCGAGCAACGCCCACACAAGAAAACAACCAGCGAGATGCAAAAAAAGCACGGCCGCCCTCGAAACACCGACACGCTGCCGCCCGTCGTTCAATTCTTGTCCCTCCATCGCACCCGCTCCGCCGCTGGCGCACATCACCCCGCACAGCCCGAGGTTTAACTGTCGACGTATCCACAGCCGCAGTGATAAGTCGACAGTTGCAACTGCCAAGCAAGAATCCAACCGCACATGTCCCAGCCACCCAAAATGCCACATCACTCGCCGGCCGCACGCTGCCAACATCACGCCCACAACACATCGGAAACATTCAAATCACGGGCTCCCGTCCTCCCTCCTCGTGAGATGCCGCACAATGGCAGCACGTCAGCGCGGCCACCCACGCCAGAAGCTACCGCTCGCAACACCATCTAATGTGCCGTGCGGGCCGCACGACAACTCTCCGCATCATGCGAGGCCGTCCCCCACTCACGCACATCATCGCCAACGCGTCGCAGTCCGCAACAACAAATACGGCAAAAAGAGTCTCCACGCCACCCACAGCAGGAACATTGGTGCCGCACACACAACACCAAAAACAAAAAAGCAGCGCGGAAGCGAGCCGACACGCACACCTCCACACGCACGGCATAGAGCCTCTCCCATCATATGCGTGGTCCAGCCGAGACAGCAACAAAGGATACAAGGGCACACGCAACCCTTGCCATCCCCGCTCCCAGAAACACAAAGCGAGGAATACACCGCAGCTCGGACACGGCACAAGCGAGCATCGCGGGCGGCGGCGATGAGGTCGGTACCCATTCACTCCCCTCTGCTTTGTGTGGGCAAACGGCTCCGCCCATGAGAGATTACAGATGTGTGCATACTCAAAGACTGGCCATGATAAGCGGTCACTCTTTATCCACGGCTGGGCCGCCGCGTGTTGGTCGACAGTGAGGCACATCCACCACAACAACACGCCACGGACAGCGATCCCCGCCACAGCGCAGTCGTGCCGACCAAGCAAAACGATATACCGCCACTGTGCACACACCTCGGAAGGCCGCAGCTGCATGGCACCAATGATGCGCACAACTGTTAACAGCGGGACGGCATGCAGTTTCCTTCGTCCGTGCCTCATTCCAACAAAAAAGCAGCACAGAAGGCCGCCATGGTCCCTGTAGCAACAAATTCATTTCGGGAATAGCCGTGACAACATCCTTTGTGTGGGTGCCGCGGCCGGGATCAATGCTCTCCGTAACGGGGACGGATGCCCCCTCGCAATCCTTGTCCAGTAGATGCCGGTGGGACCGTCCTGCTCCACACCCTCTCCTCGCCGTCACACAAAACCACCGGAAGGAGACTGCCGCCGGTGGCAGATATCGTGCACACCTGCGCGTGGCCACGGCAAGCAACGCTTCCCTCATCGTGCGGTCGAGTGGCCCACGTAATCGTCGCTCCGTCCGTGCATGGGACCAACGGACGTTACCCTCTTCAGTCACTCTCAGACGCACCTGCATGACAAGGCACCGCAATGCCGCATGCATGGCAGCACTCAGATACGTCTCCTCCGGGTCCCTCGCATCCGTCGTGTTGGTGGGAAGCGTGTCCAGACTCCACAAAGAGGGCCTATCCCCGGGCATCGCAGACAAATATTCTCCCCCCCAAATAACAGCCTCAATATCCCTCACATCCAGTGCGGGATCAGTGATGTGGCAACGGTCCTTCGAGTGTTTTGCTGACCTTTCATGAATGCTCCCCAAATACCAACCGCGGGAATACCGGTCCGACGCGCAGCGTTTGACAGGGACACCCACGTCGCAGAGCATGTAGCAATATTCACTCACGTTCGGTGCGGAGCGCTTACTCTGCAGCAGCAGCAGCCTACAGCCCGACTTCCTGCACCAGCGCATCGGCTCCGCCATCCCCCACTTCATCCTCATGTAGCCCAGTTCAGCCGGTGCGGCCAGCGTCAGCTCCGTGTGGTCGCCGGCGCCCCCAATCGGTGCCATCAACTCATCCTTCGCGTGGCGCTGTGAGCAGTGCGACTCCAGCGTACTCCCGTCCCCATTTTGATCTTGTAGCCCCATGCCATAAATGTCATCGCAGTCGTGGTGCTTCCTCGCAGCCATCGCGGCATTCGTCGAGTTCACCACCACCGACAGCGCCCTGCCACGCACACCAATAGCATTCCTCACCATGCTGCGGCTGGCCATGTGCGGGTGGGCGAACCCGAGAGCATGGGCCATCAGGTGCGCGGCGGTGCGGGTGGCGAGGCGTCCGCGAAATAAGGCGGCCGGGCAATGTTCACGGCGCCAGCGACGGGACGGCCATCCTCCAGCGTGGCGCACGGCAGTGATCACACACCACCAGGAGCAGCAGCCACGTACAGCAGTGTGTCAGAATCGGCAAACCCAGTGAAACAATGCCCAGCAGGCACAGTAAACCAAATGCAAACGCTGCCCTTGGCAAGTGGGGCACAATCAACGGACCCTCCAGCGGCCGGACGAGCAGATAATCCGCATGCAGTTGGACAGCGGCATGGATAGCCTTCTCGGCAACGGCGCTCCCGTGCGCAGAGGACAGGACATCATCCTCACAGTGGCGATTGTCATTCCATAAATTCATTGCGTGGGACCAGGAGAAGCCGCAGTGCCTCCTGCTGTCATCCAAGTCCCTTGTTGACACATTGATGCGGACTGTCACTCGTCGGTCCTTCCCAAAGCCGCTGTTCACCCGCAACGCACCCTGCGCTCTGAGAGGCATGTCCCTTACCATCAGGAGAATCAACCACGCGCCGTCGGACGTGTAGTGGCGTCAAAAGAAGAAGGATACATCAAGGTGAAACAAAAGCACCAACTGGCAAGTCACATCAAAAACATCATCACAAGCAGAAGAAGCAGCGCTGCTGGCCGTGGGCAACGTGGATAAAATGGCGCATGGCAGACGCGGAAAGAAACACCGAGTGGCTTGGCAAGGTTACGAGAGACTGACGCCTTCCTCAGCAACAAGAAAAACAATATGGGAATAACAAAGAAGGATTAAAGCGATCGCAGTCAAAACATGCCGCCGATCAAAAAAGCGGAATGGATGTGCTCAACCACAAAATCAAAAAGGAAAACAAAACAGAAAGCCGAAGCGTGGGACGACCAGCGCACACACACTCTCATTGCTCCCGTAAAGCAAAACACACACACACAGGGAGAGAGAGAGAGGTCGCCCACTCAATGCAATAAAAACAAAACAGAAACAGTTACGGTGCTCCGCCCATGCAGCCAGGCAGGACGGCAGCGGTGCGTGTGGTGCAAAAGAGAGCACCAACGGGCCTGCATGGGTGTGCATGCATATATACAATGGGCACATTATGTGTGTGCCTCGTGGAGTGAGGTGAGGGCGAGAGTCCATGCAAGGGGACACACACAGAGAGGGAAGGAAGAGTGTGTGTGCGGGCGGTGCACGGCTCTCTCACACTCACTCTCACGCGGCCACCACCGCAGCAGCCGCACACGCAACAGTAAGAAGCAAAAGAGGGGAGGTGGTGTGGGAGACCGCGGTGCTGCCGTCACTGTCGCCAAACTTAGGTGTAGCATTCTTTTGGGTGGTGGCTGTTTCTGGTTCCGTCTCACTGGCTGTGGGAGCATCGTCGGTATTTCTATCTTCAAGCCCGTCTTGTGTTTCTTTTCTGTTAGACCGTTGATCACCGTTATCGAACTTCTCCTCATTTTTCTGGGCTCCATCACTGCCCATTGTATATATGGATTTTGCTGTTGATTCCGCTGTATGGCTCGCAGGTGCATCCTTCAAATCTGGTGTGTCTGATTCTTTTCTGTGTTGCTTTGGCGCACCATTCCCTGAGGGAGTTTGCGGTGCTTCGGCCGCCGTTTTGGAGTTTGACGGTGGCGTCGTGCTTGTTGTTTCTTTTATATTTTGTAAGTCTTTTGATGCTGTTGGGTTTGTATCTCCTGCTGGAACAGTCATTGCTGGTGGTACTGGGGGTGCTGAGGAGTCGCTGCTGTTAGGGGATAACCCGGTATTGTGGCCAGTATTCCCACTTCCCCCGCTCGCGATTTCACCGTCAGCAACATTAGTATTAAGTTCTGCGTTTGGTGTAGCGGACAACTGTACTTGCGCAGCAGAATCAAGTGTTTCTGCTCCATTCACTTTATGTGGCGATCCATTTTGAGGCGCTGATTGTGAGTGATCCTGTTTTCCTTTGGAGCCCTCTTTTCCCTGGCGTAAAGGTTGCTCAGAGGAATTTGGATCCTCATCCTCATCAACCTGGGGGTTTAAAGATTTTTCATTGGAAGCAGAATCCGAAGGTTCACTTTCACTTTCATGAGAACTATCACCATTTGAACCTCCACTGCCTCCATGACTCCCATCTGCGAGAGAAGACTTATCACCACCTCCACGTTCGCCACGAGTTCCGGGATCACCAGAAACAACATCGACATCCTCAGCGTAACCAACGCCGGCACCGCACCACAGCACGCAGAGGGCACACGCTAGCAGCACAAGGCCAGTCATCATCATCGCCATCACTCCTGTCACTTGCGTGTAGCCTTCAGCACAAACTAAAAACCCGTCAACGCAGAGCGGAAGCAAAAGGAGAAAAAGAGACGGCCGCTGCAACACACACAGCCACCGCACAGCCATAAATGGCATCAATCCCGCAGCGGCAGCTCACACAGTCCATG